GTTATGTTTCCTATTTGCTTCCCATTGTCGGACGTAGTATAAGTTTAAGTATCAAATATAAAATGAAAAATGTATTCGAAAAATCATATAGTAAGAAGAACGCATGTGCTCTATAATTATTAAACCTTCATCGGCATTGAATCGGCAAGAATATTTAATAAAACCGTCCGATATGTTGGCACTCTATAAAAATTTGCTTCGAGCTAGCTGAAAAACTAAGTTTTCTTCATCTATTCTGGAAGTTTAAGTTAGAAGCAAGAACCGCGATATAGTAACATAACCAGTGCAAGGCGGTAAGTCTCAGTTATGATGGTTAATAATCAAGTTTCCGATTTTAATATGTTAATCGTACTATTTAAATTCTCGACACGAATTACCCAAAAATCACTAATCAATTAAGTGTTTTTCACGACTATTCGTATACAAAAACGATTTAATTTTTAGCAGACTAATCAAATTGCCCGATAATATTATTATTGTGAATTATTACAAATATTCGGAAAAATTACAATTTATTTATCAGACCTATGGGTGTGACGTATTATAAACTGATGATGATCTGTGAATTCTCAGAAATTTTTATCGTTTTAACTTGAGAAGAACGTTATCACACAATATTGGCAAATGGTCTAGGAGAGTGCCCCGGAAATATTGCGCAAAATACTTCTAGGTTAAAAAAATACTTCTAAGAAATAGCCATTAATCAAGAAATAAATTACAAAACATGTTAACTGAGAATAAATGCTGAAATGTCTACTACTTGACTTGTGTCTGTGTAAGGTTCAGTTAATCAGATATAAATTGAGTACATTTTTCTATAACCACATCCTTACAGTTCTTCCTTAAACTCAGACAAACTCAGAACTTTTCTAGAGACCATCGAGTCAAGAAACCATTTAGTTGTGACTAGATACGGCTATGTGTACCTATCAGTATTTGTAGGGAATTGTAAAAATTATTTACAGTAGTAAGTACATGTAAAAGCAAAAAATGTTTTTTTTTTGCAATTTTGTAGATTTAATGTTAATATTTATTATTATTCAAATATTTTTAGTAATGTAATGATGATAAATCAGTTCAAATGTTTAATAAAATTGAATGAGTTTGACTTCTAACTCTATAACAGTTACTAAAACTCTTATTCATAAGAGGATTAACTAGCCATTAACGTATAAAAAAAACTGAACATTCGAACTTCAGCCAAGCAGTGGCGGCGCTAAGGGTGGGCGAACCAACCAAAATTTGTCTTGCCCAACCACTTTTAATAACGATATAAATAAATGCGAATTAAAAAATCAGATCAAATTCGACAATAATGAAAGTGAATGTGAAAACATTCCGAGTTGTTCGGGAATTCAAAAATAACTTAATATCAAAAATACTTAATATTAAAAAATTATTTTCTAATCGAAATATGAGTACTTGTTTCCTGCTAGGACAAGAGCTAAAGATTTTCATATAGAGGAAAAAGAAGTCATTGATTTGGCTCTATCGTTACATGAACGTTTAAGACAGCCGGTTACCAACAGAGTTAGCAAGTTTTCGTTAAAACAGTATGGTAGTTTTAAGTCCAGTTATCATATAATGTATTCTTAGATTAATTACAGCATTTTCAAAGATGCTGTATTCCGTTTTCCCTTGTCGATTTTTATTCAGAGAAGGTGGAACCAGCAGTTCTTTGTTCTGCAGAAACAAAAGCTGGGTTTCGTAAAAACAAAAAAACAAACATGATTTAGTACATCTAATCCATCTAGCAGCATTTTTTAAAACTTAGAACGTTTATTTCTTTAGCTAACCATTGCCAATGTAATATAGTTTCGATTGAAAACGAGCCAGTCATTGCCAGATACCACTAAGAGGTATGAAGTCACAAATAGTCTAAAAATAAACACTAACAGATCTCACCCTTCTTTTGCAAGATTTTACTTTAGTCTTCCATAAAATGAAATGAATAAACTATGTAATATTGCAATGACAGTACCATCTTCCAGTGCAAGTTTTGAAAGAGCTTTCAGCACTTTAAAGAGAATAAAAAATTATTTAAGAACAACTATGAGTCAGGATAGATAAAAAGATATTGCAAAAAAATAGATTGAGAGTTAATTATAGATTCGTTTGTTGCTAAGCATAATAATAGAAGAATGTCTCTTCTAATGTTCCACGTGAATAACTAACTATTCACTGTTTATAATGATGTTTTCGTTAATTTAAATAATTTTAATCTACTTCGTTTACTAAAAGTAATTATTCAATTCAAAACATACAATAAGCTTATAATAGTTTTTATTAGAATAGATACTAGTGTTCTAGCGAATTTTATTCAGCATTTGTTTCCAACGTAATAATGTTTGAAAAAACGTTCACAGTTGTGAAAATATTTTGGTATAATTTGTTTCGTTATTCTACGAAAGTAGATAAAATCTCATACAATATTTGTATTGTAAATTCATATTGGGAGACTCAAGATATTGTCAAACTCTGTTAGCTCCTTCTTTAACAAAAACATGTCGTTATAAGTGCTTACTAAAAACGAATCTTTGCAACGCTTGTATATTAAATAAAAAATACTAAATTTTACATTACATTCGGCCAAAGAAGAAAACAAAATATTTTGAAAAAGAGATTTATTATTTCCAACTCTTACCATTAAAAGTATAAATATCTCCTGCCCATCTTGAAAAAAATTTCGCCGGTTTTCGCCCAAGCGGAAAATAAAGCTGGCGCCGCCACTGCAGCGAAGAGCTGCCTTGAAGTCATATTTTTTCCAAACTGAAACAATTAATTCCGTAGTGTAAATAAACGTTTTACCCTCCATCGTTACCAAAACCAGCATAAAGCTACGTGAAAAATTGCAGTTAAGTCAGAATGTGAAATTGATAAAATATATTGACTATGGTGAAAACTAGAAAGTCTCTGGATCGCTTTCATGTATCAATTATAATCCACTAGTAATCTGTTTATGTATGTAGGCTCCATGTTGATATTAAATCGCATAGCATAAAAGTGCTCCTTACTGATATTAAATCGAGGCTGTGAGGCCACTAAATTAAACTTGTAAAAGTGAAGAACTAAGAGTTTTTGATCATTCTTTTGCACATCCAGGATAAGAAAATAGATTTTTTTCAATTAACACCTATCATAGAATCAAAGAAGATGAAAATATCATGGTTTTGGCCAAATTTGACCAAGAATATTGACTTGGAGCTAAAACTCGAAAGTCCCAGATCGTTTCCGCGTCAACTGATGGGTATTTATTTGCCATGAATTATAACTGCAGTAGCCACTAGTGTATTAGATCGACTCAAATCCACCGTAAGCCGAAGCCTGAAACCTTCTTATTACAGTGATGAAAGATAAGATAATTTACACTTTTACGCTCAACAGTTAGTTAATTAAAATTTTACAGAAATTTTATAGTTTCTTTCAGGGGCGGATCCAGCTTTAAATTCAGGGGGGGGGGGTTATGTAGAAAAAATACAGTCTTTTGTTGTCTATGAAATTAGAAAAATTATCGTGTGCAAGGGTGGCGTAAGATTATTGCAAAATTTCATGTTTTCCGTCCCGTTTTTGCTCATGTCTCGGAGGCAAAATGAGCAAGAACGCTCATTT